CGGGAGGGACGTCAAGATGCAGGCCAGGTGCTGCCACCCCACCTAAGAAGAGGCGAGTTCCATCCTGCGAAAGCATCGGCACCGAGGCACGGTTAGAGAACGAGACCGATGCCATTCTTCTCTTCGGTGCCAGCCCTGGTCCAGCCACACATCCGAACGCGGTGACACGACCCTGACTGCCTTGAGAGCGTCCTGCGGTCTGGCCAGACCCTTCCCCCTGAGCTCAGACATCGAGTTTCAGCTCTGAAATTCCTCGACCGAGTGCACTTGTTCCTTCCACTTGTTCTTTAGGTGATTTACGAGTGCTCTGGGACATTTAGGTGTGAACTGTTCACACCATAAAGGCCTTTAAAAGAAAACAGTACTTAGAAGAAATCCTTGCAGAAAAGCAGTCTCTGTAAACTGAAGTTGCCGACTGCACGTTAGGGAAGGTCAAAACCCAAGGGCTGAAGAACACATTTTGTTCAAAGGAAATTACAGACGCGGGGTCATTGGCACTCAGTACCTGTCCCCTTGGCACACAGAGCTGGATCTTAGAATAGAAAAAGTCCTAAAAATGGGTCAAGCAAATCACAGGACATTTTTACCCTGCAGACACGATGGATTGAGAACATTGCGGCTTCCTAACGGAGGAAGCACGGTCCAGCAGAAGGGCCCTGGAGTGGGGCCACACGCAGGGACCCCGGCTCTGCCGCCGGCTTGGCCGCCCAGCAGGAGACCGCAGCCGAAACGCACAGCCCCAGCCCCGGCGACAAAACCGGGCAGGTGTGCATTCAACTCTTTGGGGACCCGCGGGTAGCAGGCTTTACTACCATTCCTGGGCACTGTAGCGATTTGCATCCTAATTTCCTATTTTCTGTTTCTCTTTTGGAAAAAAAAATTAGAGCAAGGAGAAGAAAATAAGAGTCTAAGTGATAATGCTCAGGCAAATAGCAAGAGAATTGGTCATTTGTCCTGCTTTGAAAGAGTATTAATCACACACAGCAACGGAGCTGTGTACCAACAGAACACCAATATTAATCTTGGTAGGATGAGAATTTGTAACGCACGTTTGAACGAGTAATTAAAAGTCTCTCTGGCTGCACCAAAATACAATGTAGTTCAGCATACAAGTGCATCTATGTCCTAGCAAAGAGAATCTCTTTCTCTAAAATATTTAAATGAATAAATATTAATCTCATCATTGAAAATTCAGCAGAGTGAGATTTTATGTTAAGGGAACAGACATTTGGGAATAATTACCTACCTGAATTTCACAAGTCTGACATTACATTGCACCCATATAGCACTTCACGTAAGCGTCCTATGTGACTCCATCACATCAGTAATAACCAAATGCAAAGTAATTTTGGAGTGATCTAGAGCTGTAGACGGGGAGCTTCTCCTCATCAGACACACAGCCCTTTGCTGCAAGTAGCAAGCTGGAGAGATCTAAAGATTTCCACTTCACATGGAAATATTACCCACTGATAATTCCATTTTTCCCACCGGTCACGTTGTGCTGGAAGCGGCTGTCACACACGGCGAGGGGCAAAGCCGAGCTCCTGGGCTTATCTCTTCCAGGAGCAAGGAAGCGTGCGAGGAGCAGCCCTTGGTGGGACTGAGTGTGCCAAGGATCGGACAGGCACGGTGACGCCAGCGCCTCAGACACGGGAAAAACACCCGGAGAGGGAAAACACACTGCGGGGAGAGCAGCAGGGAGGATTTTCTGTGCTTTCAGGCAGAAGCAGGGCACACAGCCAGAGAGGCAGGTCCAGCATCGCTGCTTCCTTAAAGGTAGCTTTTGTGGGGACAGACAGCGCTGAGGGGATGAACTTTCCAGGCTGATGGTGAATTCACTCATGTCCCTGTTTCAATCAGAAAGCTGCCCAAAGCAAGGTCATCCCATGGGAAAGAGCATCAGACAGGCTGCCGAAACGCGAACGGAGCATCGACTGCCTTTCTGCATCCCTACCTCAGGTGCGATGTAGTCCGGAGTGCCGCAGAAGGTCTTGGTGGTCACCCCGTCCCAGATGTTCTCCTTGCACATGCCAAAGTCTGCGATCTTTATGTGCCCCTCGCTATCCAGCATCACGTTGTCCAGCTTTAGGTCTCTACAAAGCGCAAGCAAAACAGTGACACCAAAGACCACACGTGAAGCCACCCATCACAGACACCGGTCCCCTGACTCCAGGTGCTCTCCTGCCAGTCGGCTCTGGCTGCCTCTCGCACCCAGACTCTTTGTAGGGCAATGTTTGAGGAGATGAGTAAAAATAAGTCAGAGATCTGTCAGGACAAAGTGTTTATTTTACTTTTAACCCACAGGAACACCATGCTGGTGTCATGGTTTAACCCCAGCCCCACCCAGCCGCTCGCTCACTCCCTGGGTGTTGCGATGGGGGAAAGAATTGGAAGGGTCAAAGTGAAAAAACTCGTGGGTTCAGCTAAAGACACTTTAACAGGTGAAGCAAAACCCGCGCATACAAGCGACTCAAAACCAGGAATCCATTCCCCACATCCCATGGGCAGGTCGGTGTTCAGCCATCCCCAGGTACGCAGGGCTCCGTCACCCGCAACGGTGACTGAGGAAGACAAACGCCATCACTCCCAACGTCCTCCCCTTCCTCCTTCTCCCCCCAGCTGTATACGCCGAGCATGACGTCATACGGTGTGGGATATCCCTTGGGTCACTGGGGTCAGCTGTCCCGGCTGTGTCCCCTCCCAACTCCTTGTGCCGGTGGGGTGGGGGGAGAGGCAGAACAGCCCCTGACCCTGGGTAAGCCCTGCTTAGCGATAACTAAAACACCCCTGGGTTATCAACCCTGTTTTCAGCACAAATCCAAAACACAGCCCCATACCGGCTACTGCGAAGAAAATTCACTCTATCCCAGCCAAAACCAGCAGGGCTGGGCAAATCGCTTTTAAGTGTACAACAGAAACACCCTCATCCAGCAGGGAGACAGGTTTAATAGATTTTTTTTTTTGCACCTATGAAAAATCAAAGTGCCCTTAAAGCTCACCAGCAAGGAAGAAGCACCTACTCAGCAGAAGCCCCCGCATCTCCTGTGCAATGCTCCCCCATGAAAACACAAACCAACCGCGTTTCCCTCTGACCCTCGTCCACCTCCGCCCGTTACAGCCAGCCCTGCAGCAGCTCTGCTCTTCAGCACAAACCGCAGGGACGGCTCCAGCTGCAGAGCTCCCGATGCGAGCCCCAGCCCTCACCGGCCTCTCCAGAGGTGGGTGCTCCCGCCCGACGGGTGGTTTTGCAGCAAACACCCAGTATTTCAGGTGCCACTTATACAGTACCAGCCACCTTCTGTGACCTGTGCCACTCCCGGCTTACCTTCTATACAGTGGGGCATCACTCAAAGGTCTCCGTTTCAATATCGGAGCACGTCTTCAAGATTTCCCTAGCCCGAGGGCGACGTTAAGAGAGAGGGCAGGGGACCGAGTGGCACAGCAGGGCAGGCACAAGCCGAGCCAGGGCTCTGCAGCCGTGCCCAGCTCCGCACCTTGTCGGCAGGTGAAGAGCAAGCGCCCGTTGTCCAGCCTGGAGCTGGCACGAAGGGCACCCCGTGTCTGCGTGAGCCCTCTTCTGAGGGACCCCCGCCCGAAACACCCCATGGGGAACAGCCCGCTCAGCCCTGGGGCTGCACAGTGCCGGAGGCTTCACTGCGCTAAGTAAGAGCCCAACAAAAGGAACAGCATCATTTGCAACTTCTTGCTGTTTTTTAAGACTGTTTTTTCCAATTATTGTGTCCGTGCTTAGAACCCTGACAGACCAAAGGCAGATGGAGGCGAGCCTGGATTTGGATTGGGAGGAAGGAAGGAAGAAGGGGCACTGGGGACTGACAGACCTAGAATCTCGCTGTAGTGGCTGATGGCAAAACCCATCCCTCACGTCAGGTTTGCTCCACTTCTTTCATCTTTGGAACAGTCTTCAGCGTCTCATTGCTTCGCTAGCACAGCTGGCATTTCTTTTTGCAAAGCAGTTAATGGTATCTGACACTCATTAGGATGCTCTGCTCTACCTCGGGCTCTGGGAATACTCGGGAGCAGGGAAGAGCAGCGGCACACTTGTTTCAGTGCTTAACCAGCAGCCTCAGAGCCCAGGCTGGCACTTGGCAGTAACCTGGCTAACTCCGGATGCTGCAATCATCTTGTGAATGGAAAAGAAGTTTTAGCGTCTGAACCAGAAGTGACAGACTTGCACCGCAGATCTCAGAATAAGCCATTCATAAGCACTTACTCTGGTGTTAACGGTAAGAAAATAGTGCCCTGCAGCAATGTACGTGGCTCAGAACTGGTCCACGCCAGTGAAAATTTGTGTTGCATAGAGAGAAATGCATGAAACCGAGGCGAGGGAGGAACCAAAGCTGCCTTCCTATAAAAACAGGGACAAAGCCAAGAACCTTCTCAAAGACCAGCAACACGATGAGGCTTCCAGCCCCGTTTCAGGTGTGCAGCTGCCAGACCCGGTCTGTGGCACCAGCCGGGAGCAGAGCCCCGCGGCCGGCTGCTGTGCCACAGAGCATCGCGGTCCTTACTTTGCTCTGTCCGTGGCTGGAGTTGTCGGGGGAAGAGAGGAAGGAGGAAATTGCTCACCTACCGATAAATGATGCCTTTGCTCTGCAGGAAGAAGAGGCCGATGGCTATTTCTGCTGCGTAGAATCTGAAATGAAAGATTTGAAAGGAAGACTGATAGTTAAAGGAGATGAATCAAAACGAAAACCTTTCAAATCCAATCACACTAAACGAAACACGTTGGGCATACGTGACCAAAGGATAAAGACAGCCACAACATAAAAATACCAGACAAGTATCACAGGAGAATGCCACAAGCCCCCCTCCGCTCGTATCGGGCAGGGATGCGATCCGGTTGCTGTGGGCTAGCAGTGGGCTGTCACTTCTTGTTACACAAATTCTCATTAAGCGAGAGCTGGGATCTACGGCTGTTCGTTACTGTGTGCTGGCAATGTGGCTTGAAAAGTTATCTGTCATCTCGGGGAGGTCGAGGAGATAACACGTGCTGCCACCGCTTTCTTTAAAGAATATTCTGGGTCTCAGAGGACTCTGCCAGAGTGCAAAACACCAGTTCAAACCCACCTGGGCTCTCCTCACTGTTTGTGGTTTTTATTTAAGCATATGAAGGTTTTCACGAACATGTCCTGCTCTGTCCGGATTACAGGGAGCCGGAGCCAAAAGCCACCAGTTAACACTCGGGTTGGCAGCCCCATCCGAGGAGCCAGAGACCCGACGTCCCTCTTACACCCCGGGGAAGGGCACGGGGCAGAACAGAGGCGGCTGGGAGCTCACCGCCTGCTGCTGCTGCTCTCCCCCCGGCAGCCTCCAGACCTCCCTGCCCGGTGCTTTTATGAAGGACAATTATTTACCTATCAACAAGTGCAACGTATCCCAAAGATGAGCTGGAGGCACCAGCATCCTTGGCACCAGGAAATTAATGATCCCGCATCTTC